AATTAGCATGAGTTTCAAATTGTTTCTCGCTCAGCGCATTATGCGTAGCCTCACCCCCCAAAGAGATCGAGGATGTAGCAATGGACAGTTAACTTGGCAACCTACTGTATATATCCGATACACCGTTAGCCACAACCTATGCACGTGTCCCCGTCTGAACTCTGTGACGATTTCACTGCGCTGCGTGGCATCGCCATCTCAATTTCGCAGCTCGTTTATGCAATATATCTAACAATGGGGCCATCCTGGTGCACATTAACTAGTTCACCAAATTCAAATCAAAAGCTCCATACGAGAATGATTATGTTCATCTTCCCCTAACCTTGACCACAAAGGGTAAAACATGCCACCGGGGATTAAGCACCCTGCCCTTACTCTTATGTTTCTGCTGACGATACAGGCGGCACGACATAACTGTTGTGGATTCCCATTCATCCGGCTACATCAGTTAGGAGATATAGTAAAGACTTGAGCACCACAACCTTACGCTTTGGTATAGTAACCTTGAGTGTACTGCTGAGTATACCACACCGAACGTTTTCTTTCTGTTGGAAGTTCCCGTAGCCTCTCACTCATCATCCTTGGTTGCGTCCTGTTCCACCGATACCAAGTTTAAACTTGCAGTAAGGGTACACATATGAGGTGAACCCGATCGTTTCATGTGAGCTATTTCCCTTGGAACTCAATGCAAAGTCCGTTATAGTTTCCGACTATTAAAATGATTTTTCATGCACAGCCTACGTAAAGGTTTTGCAAAGTCATGGATTTGTTGCTAGGTGTTCTGTAAGACTTAATAGATGAATGACCTGCGGAATGCAAGAGAAGCTTTAAACCGAACCTAGGTTAACTCGACCAATGAGACCACAAAGATAAGGCAGTGACAAGCGCTGCTGGCGGAGCAATGGGGAGTAATGCGGAAGACGGATGCCGCAAGACTCCACGTCCCGGGTTCGAATTTTAGACCGGTTACCTCAAGCCGAGGCAGAAACGAAACTGACCAGGGAATGCCGTTTGGATCCAATGCCCCATGAATTATATGTAGTGCGCTTGCTTTACCCCATTCATATCCCTTTTGTACTGATTGGATATTGACGTCACAAAATTGGGTCTAACACAATTCAATCACCATTCAAATTCATCCACAATACTTCGGATCGTAAACTTCAGGCCAAGCATAGCACCGTTTAGAAGCCCTTCTCGCGTCCTCGAGATTGAATTACATTGGTCATGCAGACCAATAATAACAGCTGAAAACAAGTGGACCACTGTCCATGAAAACCCCCTTTACATGATAACCAGTTTGCAAACGCCGGGTATAGAGGACACGATTGCACTATGCAGGAGATAAAATGTAGCGTTGACATCGGGCAACGCCTACCTTTTATCCACCTGAGTTCCAGTCCAACTGGCAGAACCAGTGAGATTCGCCACAAGATTTATGGCATCGTCGTTACTCTCGTTTTAGTTCGGCCACAAAAGTAACTCCTTCGGTAAACCGAAAACAGGTCATTCACTGTTGTGATAAGTTTTGCTCGCAGCCTGCTGGACTTGGAGAAAAAATGTCAACCAGCGATCTCTAAGTCCCCGGGATAGATTGACGGTACTACTACATCTGCCTGAAACACGCAAACAGATCCTAAGCATCTTGTCCACCCCATTATGCTTCTGGAAAGCCAGTGGAATTTTTTGTCATCTATTTCTCCGCGCCTCATGTCCTCTTGATTAGTAGTCACTAGATAAAAAAGCTGAGTCCAAGACTCTAATTGGCTAGGTTGTGCAAAATTGTCCTTCCTTCTATGGTCTGTAGGGCGTAAACTTACGATCAAGTGTCGAGTGTTGTGTCACCGCACCGCTTATTCGAACACAGCAGCTAACACCTATCAACTTGAAAGGGGCTGTTAGTGGATAAGCGTGCAGAGACGATGGTTTGGGATTAATCCCAGGTCAAGCACTGTTGAAATGTGACCGAGAATTAAGAGCAGAGTTGTGACAGAGCTAGTCACTTGTTCATGTTGGCTGGCAGGGTCCATGAAGAGCTATTTAGTAATATCTCTACCATAAATGAGAAAGGCAATGGTTTCAAAGTGAGATGATTGCCGGTTTCGGAGATAGCGGACATAAACAGGTTTTTAGTGCATTCTGTGTCTGTTTAAGGAGTCCAGTTGTGGCGATTACCGTTTAACTCACTCAAAGGTGATTATTTCTCTTTTTTAAATACCATGTGTACCAGTTCTTAAACTGCGTGCATACCAAAACCAATTATCTTGGGCAATGTTGCGTTTCAATACCACTCCGTCGATACAACCTGAGCGTGGCTATTGGCTGGGCCTCCACATGATGCAATAGTTTAAACACATGCATCGGGTCGCCATCAACAACGTAAAAAAGAACCCGTTCGTATCTACCTGGGGTTATCTTTGCCTGAATATTAGTAGTAGGGAGGGCGTCAAACAGTGTCTCATTTCATATCAATAACCTCACCAAAGTCTACTTGTAGCGCAGAGCGAATAATGGATATAACCGTCGCCAGTTAAGACTACTTGTTGTAATCCAACTATCCTGTGGTTTGTCAAACTCAAAACCTGTCGTGCGTAGAATGGATTCGTCAAAACCAATCAGTTGCCAACGCCTGAGCTGACACAGTGTTACGCGTTCCAGTCTTGAATTGGTTACGGTGATCTGAAAAGCTGACACGAGCACGAACAAAGCCGCGAAATGCACAGGCAAAAACGAAAATGATCCGGGAAAGCTTAAGCCAATTTCAGGCGGGTACGTGGCAAATCAACACAGAAACCACGCGACCTCGGGGAAGCTCAATCACACGAGGTAACAAACGTTGGAAGTTCGCAAGCATAGGGAACACACGCATCACCATACGTCGCGCAATCGGAGTATTCGCTGTTCTTAGCTAAGTCTCTGGGCTCATGACGTCAACAAGTGCGACAACGAACTTTCTGCGACCAAATTCGATAAAGTACATGCACCACCGTAGTTCGTTGGTTGAGGCACAAAATGAGTGTTCCATGGATTAATTGTGAATGATGAAACGTCACTTCATCCCTCGTTAGGACGGTGGACGCCGAGAGAATTCAGCGTGCATCTGACGGGGTTCGTGATACAACCCTGTTTTTCAGACATGCAATCTGCAACCTCGTTAAGTATGCTTTTACTGAAAGCTCGTCCTAACGCAGTCTGCCACATTAAAAGTCAATAGCACAGAGAAAATTAAGTCAAGCTGTACAATGTTCACGTCGCAACGAGACTCGCTGTGTAAGTGTGTGTGTGTGTGTGTAAGAGGGCTCTGTGATTAATTGTGCAAGGAGAACAAAAGGCAAAATAAAGGCACTGTTCGAATGACAACGCTTGAAGTCAAAAAGTGGCTGTAATGCGCACTACCCTGTGTCCAAGCATGGAAACAATGGCAGGACAGAGAGTGAGCAGATGGTGCAAAGAAAAGAAAAATCTGAAAGGGGTCGTGGAAACATGTTAACAGGGAAAATTTGGTAACGCTGATCTGTCCATTAGGTTACGGTGTTAGCAATAAATCGGAATACCTGTCACTCGCTCGTCGGTATGAGTTGACAAACCACTGAGTGTGCGTAGTACGCAATGAAGAAGTCACTTCGATTGGTGATGAAACGTTTTCAACGAAACTGCTCAGGTCGGAGAACAAAACAAAATCTGAGGTTACAATGTTTACGGCCTACTGCGTGATAGAGATTTTGGAATCGAAAGGAATCGCTGATTGAGAGAATCAATAGTGGTTTCAAGTTGAGGAGAGGGATACGGTGAGCAATATGTTCGAGTGGTGTTGCGCCCACATCTAACGGTGCGCAAACGCGTGAACAGGTCTCTTTTAATTCCAAAATCAAAACTTATCAGAGGTGCGGCAAAGAGGAATGCGAACGAGACATTCAGAGGGCATCGGTGATAATATAGCAACTGAAGCATGTAAGTTATCAGTTGTACAGTGTGCATGTTCGTAGTCAGCTACTTTTCTAGCACATTAATATAACTTTATGCGGTATTCCAGAGTGACAGTAGTCTACGAAGAAAGACATCGATCCGAGATAGCTGTGAAAGTATGCGGGCAGATATAGATTGTCTGAAAAGTTAGGACATCATCATCATCATACTACACGTCAGCTAGAGATGGGAAACACCTCAGCTACTGTGCCGCAATACATAGAAAAAAGGAAAAAAAGCAACTGGTGCAAGCCGGCTGAGCTACCGGTAACGGATGGGCATCGTTCCGGTAAGCTACCAGCCGGCTACTGTGCAGCAAAAAAAATTGCTATGCAAAATTATATAAGGCTAAATGATGAGATCGTGGTTGGAGGGGGAGGCTAAGATGGATGGGGTGGGACAAAGAAACTCACAGCACGAACGCCACTGAGGTCGGCTCCTAGCCATATCAACAAGTGTGTCCAACCAAACGTGTTCATCGTCTTTCGGACCCCAACCAGGGAGCCGAGACGCTCCAACCGAGGCCAGCTCAGAAGTGAGGGCCTTCATTCCTCTGGACCAAGTCATCGCTTGGCCATGCCTCCTCTTCTTCCATCCACACCCCCGGCGCGCAAACACACGTCGCGGAAGTCGGTGGGCTGGCATGCGTAACACGTGGCCGAGCCATCGGAGCCTGGTGCGTGAAATAACGATGCTGAACGGTTCATTTTCCTTTCCTGTGCCGTAAACGAGGCGTCGAACACGCTCGTTGCTCATGCGGTGTTCCCACCAGATGTGAGCTAAATTGCGAAGGCACCGGTGGTCGAACGTAACTAGCCTCTTCAGGTCCGTTGTTTTAAGGGGCCAGGTTTCACAACCGTACAGTAGGGTCGAACGTACCGCTGCACTGTACACTCTACCCTTCAGGGCCATAAGTGGCGAAGGTTAGCAAAAGCGCCCCGAGCTTTTGCTATACGGTTTGTGATTGAAAAAGTTAGGACAATTTGGTTGGAGTCAAAAATCCAACAACAACAACAACAACAACAACAACAACAACAACAACAACAACAACAACAACAACAACAACAACAACAACAACAACAACGGAACAGCGGTGGGAAGAACAGCATGTGCATAAGATGATAACGTGTGTGATGGCCCCCACCGCATGGTGTAGCGCACTGAGGAGTGTACTGCGACCAAACAACGACTGTCACTGTCTGAAGGGATGAGGCGTCTCCCTTGTAACCCAATGGTCACCGTTTCCACGTGCTGACGCATTGCTGGCGACTAGTTTTCGGAGGATTTTCACTACTGTGTAAACTGGAGTATCCGATGAATGCATGGGTCGCGATATGCAATCTCAGTGTGGAACACAATTCGAATCGGAAAAAACTGTACCAGTACGGGTACTGTTGATCGCTCACAAGTCCACACCACACCTGTTCCATTCTTGTTTATATTCTTTGGGTCAAAGTAGCCGAAGTTCGACTCGAGACAGTGACTTAAACCAATAGAGCAGATATCCCCACAATAATCACTCAGCATTGAGAACAGTTCAAAATCCGCATCCCCCACTAATGTTGTTTCTGAGAAACTCGGAAGTATGGATGGCACGGACTGTCTGATTTTGTACAGCTCAGGTGAATCAGCGACTGAGAGTAAAATAAATGGGATCAAGGTCTAGTAATGAAAGATATCACAAATCGAGGGGAAACGACCACAGGGGGGTCAATCAGCGCCATTCATACAAAAGCAAGGGAAATATGCAAGTTAGTGGTCATCCCAACCGGGCATGGGGAAACTGGAGGCGAAATCTGAGACGTGAGCACGGAGATTCTCAATGCGCGCGACAACGCCTTGATCTTCCAGCAGAACTGATCGAAAGGCCTTCAAATTTTCTGGAAAATACAATGACACTTGATATTTAGTGCGTTAATGGGATGCAAAGTAAATAAATGTTGTGCTCAATGAGAATAGATGACAAAGGACCGTGGAAACATAGATAACACAATACGATAAAAGGGTGATCATGCGCCAATGTGCGTCTCCTAAGCAAAGAGTAATTGTGGGCAAACAGGATGGCGTAGCGACGGCCTAGTTAAGGCAGATGAAATAACAGAGCTGGATTAAGCGGTCGACCCAGTCAACGCAGAGTTGCGGCCAACAAGCGGTGGTGCACAACGTTGATCCCGGTCACGCTAGACACATGCATATCTAAGAAGAAACACGAAGTAGTGCGAAGAACCGTGCGTCAGAATGGGCTTCAAACGCTGGATTATGATTATGTATGTCCGGACAATAGTAATGGAGTACGATGCAGCTTAATCGTACATCAAACATCGAGACAAAGTGTCGTATCCGTGGAAAAGTCCCGAAGAAGACATCTGACGTTATTTTTTAATCTCAACGACAATCAATAGAGACCCCTTTTGTGGAAAGTGAAAACGATAAGAAAACAATCGTTCACCCATACATAAATAGTCAATAAACGCCGTGGGCCTCATGGCCTAAGACAGCACTAGTGAACAGCTATCCGGTTGGTTGAACGGCATTCTGTATCCTACTTTAGTACTGTGAAAGACAAAGAATTGCTCATTTGGATAATGTACTATCGTGTCTTTTCTTTCTTATTCAATGAGGACTCGCAAAGATCCCGAATCAGACAATGAGAAAATCAATAGCAAAGCGAACCTATTCCTTTGCCTTAAAGAAGTAACAGGTACATAAATACTACAGGTTTCAAGAGTACAAACCCGACATAATGTACAACGTTCTGTTGTCTACACTAACATCACAAATATAAGACATGTATCCTCGATGCTGAGCATGCTAAGTTAATAGTCACTCGCCACACCGGCCTAAATTCAATTACGCCGCTGTGAAGGTGGACACATTAGTCCCACATACGGTCGCAGCTGAACGGCGGCATATCCGTTAGGAAAGTCTTAATTACCTGGTTGTTCGAACAGTAATTTCTTTTTATTATGAAAATGAAAGACGATTTTTATGGAATATTTTAATCAATTATGTATTGGCCATGCGAGTCCAATACCTTTTGCCAACTTTTTGGCAGTAGCAGGATTCCACACCCATAAAATTTTTGTTCTTTGCTGGTGATTATTGACCTCCTCATTTGAAGTAGAGGTCTTACGGTCTAAAACATTTTGTAGAGACGTGAACAAACAATAATCAGTAGTTGCCAGATCTGGAGAATACGGTGGGTGTAGTAGTAGATCACATTCAAGCTGTGAAAGCTTTTGGCGCGTTACCAAACATGTATGAGGTATCGCATCCTCTATTGATCAATTCTGAACTTTTCGGCTAAAGTGAAGCATGCAATTTGTCCAGCTCACGACAGTACACTTCAGAACTGATGACTGTGTCGTCCGGTAGAAGCTAAGAAAAACGACTTCATTGGAATCCCGCTTTTTTGGTGAATATCAGCCGTCGAAGTGCATTGAGCCAGTTCATCTTTTTTACTCTATAATCTCTTGCGTTTAACATTGTTGTAGACAACCTATTTCTCGTCCCCATTGATGATGCGCTTCAAAAATCGATCATTTTCATGACGTTTGAAAAAAAAACTACAGATGTCAACGGGACGATACAAACTGCTTTTCGTAAGTACATGAGGAACCCATATGTAGAGCTTTGACATTCAACCTAGACGTTTCAAATGAACATGAACAGCCGAATTCTATAAATTTAATCAGCGATATCACGAAATACTATTCGCCGGTTTAAAACAATTAATGCCTTTATTGTGTGTTATGAGGACTCAACGTTCCCCTAAATGATCATAAGCTTAAACCACGGAAGGCAACGAGACTCGATTCAGACAAGTGTACATGTTTCGATCAGCCTTCCAACACGAGAGACATTCACGTTTCGATCGACCTTTGCATCTCAGAAACATTCTTGTTTCCGGCCAAGCTCTCTTCAATCATAAAACATTCAGCCTTTTTTAATCTAAGAAACATGCCCTTTTCCAGCCCAGTCTCCGCATCCAACAACATTTACTTTTCAACATGTTCCGTTGGCATATTCGCATAATGCCAATTCGGTTGCTTCCAGGGTTTGCTTACGCAACTCATTGGCACCATCGAGGTATAAAAGGAACGCTGGACTGCGCTGTAATTGCCTTGAGCCTGGCCGGTAAAAGTGCCTACGCGAAAGGCCTGTCTTTTTGTCTTGTTCTCTAGGATTGCGTAGGTGCGTGTGAAATTGCGTTTAGCCTAGGAACCTGTTCAACTCGCGCGTAGTAAATGTGTTGTGCTTAAGTCTCACGGGTAGTACAACTTTGAAATCTGTTGATTCCATTGTCGTGCGTGAAATACTTTCAAGCCACATCCGTTCGGCAAACTAGGAGAGTTGATACCAGACCGTCAGAAAGTGGCATAACCAACAGGCAGTTATAAGATTGTGTCTTTATCAGCTTTAACCAACATTCCAGAACGTGGTGCATCTGCAACATTGCCGGATCGAAATTTTGCAAACTAATTTTGGCCCCGCCGTTCTGTCAATACATCTTCTTCATATACATCGGATAATTTTTGTTCCTGCTTGAACAGCATTTTTACTTTTCAAGAATAAAAAAGTAAAATGTGCCGAAAATTCTGCTTTGCACCTCCATATATGAAACAGCAGCAACTAAAAACTACTGTGTAGAATCAATCGAAGTTTTTCACAAGCAAGCCTTGTTATATCAGTAGTCAAAATACAGCGATTATGCGGCTTAAGTGTGAAGTTACGGTGAAAAAATAAAAAACGAAAAAGCGTAATTACTTTCCGGACAATCTAATAGAACAAACCACTTTGGAAATCGTCCTGCTTAGTGTACAATAGGCACCTGCGAAATAAAAACGTCTGTTCCATAGTAGGGTGAGAATATCCCGTTGTACTTTACTCCGGTAGAATGTTGGCCACTGTGTAACCAGATTTACTTGCGAAACGTCGTTTGTCGCTATACGCTTGTATTTGATTAACTATAATGAATGTGAGTTATTGAAATCTAGTTTCTCAGTTAAGATGGTGAACATATAG